TCACAACAGCAAATATTAATAGAACGGCCCCTAATCTCGAGCGTGTCCATGGGTACCAAAAGGGGACTGCTGTTTACCCCCAATGACTTTGTTTCCGCATTAGATTCCGCCCCAAATCAGGCCCTGTAGCGCGCGTAATGGGTGGTCGATTTTCTTCTTACGATGCTGACAGCAACTACTATTTGAATTTCGGTCTGGCGCTCAAAAAAATGCATTCTTTTTTCCTTGTTCTACACCAGGCTATCGGAGAGGCTTCAAATGACTTTAATGACGCCGACTGAACGACCTAGACTACGGTGGCGATATCATAGTGTCAGGCGGAAAGGTGAAATTGATTGTTTATTGATGATGGGGCACAAATTACGTTTTGAACTTAATCTATCCCCCCTTCCCTCGTAATTGTCTATTTCTGACAGTAAACAAAATGGGATTTTGCTGCTACCCCCTCTTCTAAGAAGCGAAAGTTAGGATCTAGTTGGGAGTATTGTTAGAAGGAGATTGCGTGTACACCAGTGAGCACTACGCCATTAACGAAATTCATCTAACGGTTTCGATACCGTCGAATGTACATCATCAGGACCTCAATTTTGCCGACCATATTATACTGCTGGCATCAGACTGTGATGACCTACAACACTACCAGTGAACGAGGCCGCCAGATTAGTTGATTTATCCGGTAACACTGCGAATACAAAGATGTCTTAGAGAAGGCCTCCTAGTTAGTAACGACTGTCAGTCCCAAACAATGTACGGATGCGAATAGTCTCCGGCGAGGTCACCGCAAAACTAACAAAGTAACCGTCGCTTACACCGCTGCTGCTAGCAGGATCTCGCTAAGCACCGCGATACCTCGGTCGTCTCCGTGGCTATGGATGTTGGACTTCTCCTCGTGTGAAATCCTGGTGTCTTGGAAACCAATCTCTGCGCCTATTCGGCTCGAACAATGGACTGGTGCCTGTCTCAGTGCACTCTCTTTCCTACAAACAATCTGACACGATTGAAGCTATCACGGTGCACTAAAAGCCGTGGCTTGGAAGGCTGACAACTGACTGGATAAATCCAGCCACGCGCAGTCAGCCCAACGTGTGCTTGTGCGGAGTGGCTGACTGGTGGACTGAGGGTAAGGCTGCAATGGGTCCTTCTCAATGTGGCCTATATGGCACTCCAACTCAGTGGGATCCGAAACAACCACTATCTTGTTGAGTCAAATGCCGGTTCTTTGTATGTAGACCAGGGGGTGCGGGTTCGCGCCATGTCGGCCAACTGTGCTTTCTCTCTCTCTCTCTCTCTCTCTCTCTCTCTCTCTCTC